TTCCTGCTCCTCTGATGCTGCTTGGCCTGCTGTGTTCATCCAGCTCTGCACCTTGTTAACTCAGATTCTCCAGCATCTGCAGTTCCTACTATCTCTGAAACCGTGTTCATACAGATGTGTGTCTTTTCTAGAAGTTGAGCAGGAGTTTTGGTTCATTAGCCTGTAACCATTACAATAATAAATCAGTGATACAGTAGAATATGAAGCAGCTCCTGTAGCTAAAATCTCTTAATAGCTGGAAAAATGAAGAGTTTCTGGATTGCAGTTTCAGATCACAAACACTGGGTGGTACCAGTGCGCTTTCTAAACCACAGCCTGGATCCGACACAGACGGGCAGTCATACCCTCCTGTCATCGAGGTCAGAGGTGAGCCTGGTCCAGCTTAGCCACTTGACCCACTGCCATTTAACTGGCTTGAGGTGAGCCTTCCACCCCTATTAGAGAGCTATTGGCCAATCAAATAGCTGGTAGCTCTTTTGTCCCACCAGCTCCATGAGAGCAATGACCACTGCTGGGATTGCAGCTACTTCCAAAGGGAAGTGAGCTCAGATTGAATTGAACTGCAGGGTAAATTCATAATCTTGTATTCTAAAGAAGGGTCACTGAACATGAAACTTGAAGTATTGGTGGCTCCTGGTTAAATCTTAAATAGTATTCTTTGAAGAAATCTGAAAAAATGGCACAATCCTTTTATTTATATATTCTGTGATTTCATATCGCACTTTAAAAATTGTGGGTATTCTAACTCATTTTGTAATCTACCCTTGGGGAATTTTTTCTTTCCTTTTCATTGTTTTTTTAAATCTCTATATCCTCATACAGTGTACAGCATATTAAAGTAAAAGCTTAGTGGCATCTAACCATTATTGTTTCTTCTGTCTTCACTTCAATTTTATTCTATTCATCAGATATAGTTACTAAAACTGCCAGTTTTTTGCATCACACATGTAATGTAATATTTTGTAATGAACTCTTCAAATAGTAATTAATGCCCTACAACTCATCAAATTTAAATGATTCAGTTAAGAAAGAAGGTGGTCTAATGGTATTGTTGCTGGATTAATAATGCAAAGTGGGGTATTAATCCCACTACATGGTAAATTTGAATTCAATAAATGTCTGGAATTAAAAGTCTAATCGTGACCATGACACCATTGTTGATTGTCAGGAGAGTTTCATCTGGTTCACCACTGTCCTTTAGAGAAGGAAAGCTATAATCTTTACCGGGTTTGGCCTACATGTGACTCCAGACCCATAGCAATGTGATTAACCCTTAACTGTCCTCTGAAATGGCCTAGCAAGCCAGCCAGTTGCTAAGAAGTCCCAAAACGGAATAATAGACTGCAGCAATTCAAGAAGGCAGCTCATTACCACTTTATCAAAGTCAACTTCAAATGGGCAATAAATGCTGGCCCAGCCAGTGATGTCCACAACCCATGATTGAATTTAAACAAAACATTGAGCTTGCAAAGGTGGACTTTATTATGTCTTGGGCTCATTGAATACCTTCATGCTGAAATGACTTAGAGCAAATTTATTTAATTAGTGAGGTATTATGATCTGGAATACTGAAAGATTGGTTAAAGCAGATTCAAGATTGACTTTCAAAAGACTTTCAATATAAACTTGAATTGGAAATACTTCTAAAACCAAAAGGAAAGACCAAGAGTTTTTGGAAACAATTAGATAATACTCTCAGACGTGGCATGGACATGATGGGCCAAATTATTTCCTTCGGTGATTTATGATTACATGGTTGCATAGCACAACACAACGGCATTCTAAGATAGGACATACCAGAATTTGTAAATTAAAGTATTTACTACTGTTTAACCATCTGCAAGGTATGAGCCATTTTATTCCAATTAAACATTATTCATATAAAACATGCCCAACTTGTTAAATTCCGTCTGAGCTAATAGCAGCTTTCTTAGTGCTTTGTCTGTGGTGTTCACCTCACTAAATAAAATAAGATATTGGCTCCAATATTTGCCAGGACAGGGAACAGCACAGTGGTATAAGTGCTGAAATTTGTCCAGAATAGCAAGTTCTGTCGCCAAAGCTGTCCTCTCTCATTTCTGAAGGGCAGCTTTGGAAGGTGGGTCATAGATGCATGTTTCCCAGAGGCAGCTGGGAATTTAACTAGCCAGCTGGCTCTAGAGAATTGGGATTGCAGAGTGTCTGGTGTCTGGAACCAGGGCATGTGGAGATTATACCAGTTAAGAGCAGGTCAGTTATCAGTGTATTGTGTATGATTTGAGAAAGATTTGAGGGGGTGCCATGGGGTGGGTTTAGGGCATAGGTTGATATAGTGGGGAATTGAGGACAGGAGGAATGGTCTTAGCGTCTTCCCAGGTTGCTGAGCCTGATTCTCTTAGCTATCTGCACCACTAAACTGGAAATCAAATTGCGGGCAATCATTTTTAAAAATCGGGTTCAGGGGGCTGGGATCTTTCCTAATTCTATGTGCTCAAGCTGGGAATAAAAGTTGTGAAGGTTATTATTAGAGGTAATAAGACACAATAAAATATTTCAATGACAACTAATGTGTGCCATACAATAACATTATGTTATAAATAATCACTGTGTATGAATCAATTGCATGAAATTGATTTGATATTTAAATAACTGCACAGAGGCCAGTATTCCATCACCAAGTCACCCTTTATTTGCCTGTGCACAGTACACCGGCTGTGGCAAACCAGTTCGGAGTCAATTCCCTGAACGGAGGAGATTCTAAATCTGCTGGTTATATTGGTCAGCCAGGGTTGTCCTGATTAGCCCAGGTTAAGGATCCCAATCAAGGACCTCAAAGTGAATGAAGTCCACCTGGTTCCAATCACTTCAGATATTAATGTATTTAACCTAGTCATAAATGAGATACCACAGATGCTGCCAGATCTGCTGAGTTTCTTCAGCATTTTCTCTGTTTGTTGCTGTGTTACAGAGTGCTAAGCTATGAAAGACCTTCATTCACAAACTCTCCTGCAGCATTGTCAGATACCAGCTGGGGAATATGCTTCTCTTCATCTCCTTTTGTCTTATTTTCACCATCATTGATTAAACATATATACCCGACTACAGTTCCATTTTCAGGTATACAAGATTAACTAGAGCAGTGTGTCATTTTCAAGTTCTACTATTTCACAGAGTCACAAACTGTTATGGAGCAGAAAGAGGCCCTTCAATCCAATGTGTCTCCACTCCAATGAGTGTTGTAACTTAGTGCCATTTGCCTACCTTTTCTCCATTACTTTGCACATTGTTTCTATTCAAATAATCATCCTATACCCTCTTGAATGCCTCTTTTAAACCCATCTCCACCATAGGCATTTCATTCCAGACCAAATCATTGTAAAAAGCTATTTTCACATCACATTTGCAAAATTTGAAAATCATTTTAAATCTATGTCTTCACATTCTTGATCCTTTTATGAGTCACTATCTACTCAATCCAGACCCCTTTTATATCTCCACCAAATCCCTTCTTAGCTTTAACACTTCAGCCATGCCTCTTGCCTCCATGTTTTAAATATTATGCTTGGTCTTTAATTGTCCCTACTTGACTTTTTACCACAATTTTACTATTGAAGTGCTTACAGAAGACTTCAGGATTCATCTTTATATTGGCCACCAGTTTGTTCTCATAATCCCTCTTTGTTTCTTTAATACGCTTCTGCACCCGCATTTGGGTGTGGCATCAGAAAGTAAATGGTAGATAATATAAAGTTTTCAAATGTTCTTTTTTAACATTTCTGTGCCTTTCTTTGACAGAGTGTAACAGATTAAGACAATATCTGCAATCAAAGAGATCATTGTTAACTTTCAATAAAGCAGTATAAGTAAAGATTTGCATCCAAGTTTCTGAAAAATATAAAGATAAATTATATTTCTTTGGGGAAAGAAAAGTTGCTTTTCAACGTGCCACCTGTTAAAGCTAGCATTGTGGGTGGACTGCAGGATTGCCCAATCTTCATTCCATTAATTCAGGCTGAATAGGCTGGGGCTATTTTCCCTGGAGAGTCAGAGGCTGAGGGGTGACCTTATAAAGGTTTATAAAATCATGAGGGGCATAGACAGGATAAATTGACAAGGTATTTTCCTTGAGGTGGGGCAGTCCAACACTAGAGGGCATAGGTTTAAGGTAAGAGGGAAAAGATTTAAAAGGTACCTAAGGGGCAACTTTTTCATGCAGAGGGTGGTGTTTGTATGGAATGAAGTTCCAGAGGAAGTGGTGGATGCTGTACAATTACAACATTTAAAAGGCATCTGGATGGGTATATAAATAAGAAGGGTTTAGAGGGATATGAGCCAAATGCTGGCAAATGGTACAAGATTTACTTAGGATGTCTGGTCGGCATGGACGAGTTAGACTGAAGGGTCTGTTTCCGTGCTGTACATCTCTATGATTCTATGAATTAATTTGAATGCATAAAAAGAATGATCACATGTAGTGATGAAATGTGATGTGATCAATGCAGCCTTGTGACAAGATGAAGCCACAGTAAAACGTTTCTTAAATAAAACATTAACGGTTTGAATCATCTGAACTAGGTTTGGAAATCCTACTCCTGATGGAGAACAGACAAAAGTTACTCACTTTCTTTTCCATAACTTTTCTATATAGACATCCAATACAGACCAGCAAGCCATGCAGGTAGCATCAAAGAATTGTCAAAGAAACCACATCTCCTTTTTATGGTAATAGCTGTCTTATTACAAAAGGTGAAGTGTTTAAAAGTCCCAAAGCCACTTTGAGAAGGTAAGAGAAGGTAAGTTCCATAATGAGAGGGTTAGAGTAGCTGCTGGGTAGGTAAGGGGGAAGGATGACATGTAGGTAAAGGGGTAGAGTACAAAGTGTGTGAAATGGTAGAGTGCCAGGTGTCCATCTAGGTGAGGGAGTAGGGTGCTAGGCAAGTGGGTGAGATGTTACGATGCCAGGTGAGTGGGTAGGGTGGCAGATATATGGGTCAGGAGTTAGGGTGCCACATGAGTGAGGGGTAGTGTTGCAGGTGGGTGGCTGAAGTCTAGGATGGAAGGTGTGCAGGTTGATTGATGAGTGAGTGAATGGGTAGGCAGATGGATAAGCATGTAGGGCAACAGGAACAAGGGTGAGGGAATGTAGGTGTTAGGTGTCAGAGGGTAGGATTGGTCAGGTGGTGTCCTGTTTGGTGTCTGAGGTAGAGACTGAGGTTAATCAAGTGTCCATTGTGGGGTAAGGTATAGGGGGTAAATTTGTATCTGTGCAGGTTTGATGATCAGGAGTTGGAGGCAGCTGGCAGTTGTACCTGGAGCCAGGTGTCTAGGAGTAGGATCAGGTATCCTTTGGAGTGGTCAGGTGCCTGTGGTGATTTGGGATGTTTATGATGGGTAGGTGTCAGTGTGTGATTTAGGGGTTTGGCAGTTTTATAGCTGGTCAGGTACTAGAAAAGATTTTAATCATACCAATTTTTCCTGGTTAGTTAGGTAAATAGTACACAAAGTCTTATTGCTGAATTTTTGGAGGGTTCCAGGTGGCAGGTTGGAAATGCTCTGGTAGAGCTCTGGGTTCAACTGAAGAAATGGATAATCTTAGTTTCTATGCAACTTCATTTTATACACATCCTCACAGCCAGCAAGGAATGTAACATGTTGTTACTGTTGCCACTTATCAAACCCTGTGGTATAATGTCCGTTCCAAGGGCTACTTGAATGGCAGACTGAAGGCCCAAGAATCACTTTCAGATATCTCAGCGGGAACTATACACCAATATGTGCAGGCAGCCTTTGACTCTCTTGATTCACCTTCAATAAGCAATCTGCTCCAAATTTCTTACTCCTTCTATTTCTCTTGATAGTTTTCCAGTTATGACTATTATTTATCTTATCCTTTTAGTCAGAATAGCATTGGAAAACTGCTTTTGAAAGCAACTTTAAAAATTCTATTATACAATGGAGGGATGAAGAACTGTATATTCTCCAATGTCAAATTATTGAGTTCAGTTTTAATTCTGATGAAGTCAATCATTTTGAGGACGTCTTTGCTGAAGTTTTTCGTATCTGGCAAATAGACTTGGATGCAAGAGTGAGGGAAAATCTACATGACTTCAAGAGGGGTATGGGTTTTCTGGGGATTTCTTTGCTGTTGATTGAAGTGTGTTTGGGATTTAGGAGAACCCATCTTTTTTTTTAAGATTTTAAGCAGCTACATAACTCCATATGAAGATGATTACGTATTTGAAAAAAGCTGGAAAGGTGATCTGACAATTAATGGAACTTTAGGGGGATTAAACAATTGTATAACTGTGGATGGTAAAACATCAAAATATTCTGAAATAAAAATGTAACATGTAAGGGCAGTAATATACAGACAGAATATGCAGCTAATTTTATATTGTTAATTCTTGCTGATTTTATGGTGATTTCCATTATCACAACCAATTCGTGTTAAAGTTATGCTGAGGGAACGAAATAGATCTCAATATTGGCTTCCTAAAGATCAAGAAGAAAACAAAATGATAAATAAAAACAGAAAATGCTAAAAACTTGCCACATCAGACAGTACCTGTGAAGATAGAAGCAGAGATAGCATTTTAATTTGATGGCCTTTCTCCAAACAGAAGCAAGATAATAGAAGACTAAAGGAGAATGAACTGGTAGACAAAGGTATGGCCTGGACATTCAGCTGCACAGCAACTATTCTGTTACAGCTCGTTGGATAGCATGTGTTGGCAGCATGAAGATGTGCTTGATATCATTAAATCCACTTTGCTGTTCAGAAAGTTGATTGTGTTCTTGACAAAGGCATGGATGGATGCAGTTGACTGCTCCTTGCACCTGTGAAATCCTGGTCAAGATTTATTGCCATCTCATGTTAATGTACAATGCCCATTGAGGCGTTATGGACCATGCAGTTTGTGTGAATAATACATCGCTCACCTGCTGGATATATCAGTGGCCTATCAACTAGCTCATGCTGCTATGTCACCTACCTTTACCCGAGAAGTCTTGTAAGCATAGAAATTGAGGATTGTGGTGACTTTCGCAGATAATGGCAATTGAGTTCTTCTAGTGATGTAAGGTCCAGCACCAGGGTAAGTAAGTCGCACACCTTCTCTGTGACCTCAGGAATGAACACCAGCTTTTTCCCTTGAATTTGATATTAGGTTTCAGATGGAGATAGTAGAGCAAATTATTAAATACAAGTAAGGCAAATGTAGAAGGGATAAGAAGTAAATTTACTGCAGTCAACTGGACTGAACTGTTAATGGGTGAATTTACAAATAATGGAACATATTCAAGGAATACAATGTAATACAAAACCAGTAGATGCACCTGAAAATCAATAGTTCACTTTAGCAGTGAAGTAACTATCTTAGCTATGAAGTACGACACAGGATCAAGATAAACGTAAAGGTTAACAGACATGCAAGGAAAAGTGGAAATCTAGCAAAGTGGTAGAGGTGTTAAAAAATAAAAAAAACAAACTATAAAATAGATAATAATAGGCACCAGTGTGATGTAATGTAATGGTTTGCTTAGTGACTTCAAAGGGTCAACCATGTTGGTGTGGGGAAGGACTCACTTATTGTTCAGATTAGGTAAAAAGTGCAGGTCTCATTCCCTTAAAGGAATTTGTGAACTAATTGGAAATTTACAACATCCGACAGATGATAACTTTTACTGATATCAGCTTTGTATTTTCAGAATTTTTTAGAACTAAATTCAAAGTCTTAAAATGCCATGATAAGATTTGAGTTTTCCTTTTCTATTTATTAATCTAGGTCTCATTTGTACTAATCCCATAACATAACAACAAGCCTCATAGTACCACAACATAGTGACCATGCAAGGAGTGCAGAACAGATTCACCAAAATGATACAGGAGTTTAAAGGGTTAAATTAAAAACAAACAGGTTGAACTCCTTTGATTTAAACAGAGGAAGGGCTTAATCTAACTGAGGTGCTAAATTAGAAAGTGATACAAAAGAGAAAAATATGAGAAAATGAATCAGCGTGTATTGTAGCAATGAATGAGTCCAATGTGAGTAAAGGTGAAAGTTTAATTAGAGTCAGATTGCAATTTGAAAAGAAATGGACTAAGACATGATGGGTGCTGCAGAGTGGATCCAGATGAGTTACAATGGATAAATGAGGATGGTGCAGGACACAGGAGCTTGGCAAGCCATGAAAACAGATCTCCTGGTAGGAGTAGCTACAAGCAGGAGATTTCAAAAGTCATTTCTTTTGTATCAAAAATTATTTTTACAAGAACAATTGCAGAATGATCGAGACCATCTAGCTTATTAATACTAATAAAACCCTGAGTTCTGAAATGAACCTCTGAGAATGTTTACGCTACTTACAAAGATCAGGTCATTGTACTTCTTTCTGTTCTGTTACCTGGCTGTGACATAACTCAGATGGATTTGAGAGCTTTGGTCACCTCCATCAGTCACCTTGGTGAATTTTCAGAGAGTCCCCAACCTTAGCGGGTCATTGTTTCCAAAATTAGATGAGTGCATTGTTGACCTTCTGCCAACATTTCTGTGGAGAGGGGATGTTCAGATAGTACTGCTTACACTATAATTGACATTTTCAGGTTAATTTTAAAAGTCGTATCTCATCCACTTCTCAACACTCCCTCTCAACTTGACAGATGGCACCTATTCTCAGCCATGATCTACCATAAGGTCCCACATTAGCTGT